TGATCTATGTTAATGCTCTCTATATTTTTTCTTATATCAAAACATGAAAATTTTGTATAACTCCCTATGAAAACAAAAAGTGGGGTAGAAAGATGAGGGCAAACAATTTCTGTTAATCTCTAGACATCTAAGATAGTGTCTGGCTTGGCAAATGAACTACCTCCCAGAAGTAAATATTATAAAAATTTTCATTTCTGACCCATTACAATTCTGGTTTTTAATGAAGTAAACAATAATAATTTACAGGTATATTAAAGTACAGTTACTATGAACACAGTTACTACTTCTGACAACAGTGTTCTGCAGACAAGATGAAAAGTGCTTATCAAGATAACTGTATTTTGTATAATTTGAATATTTATACATATTTTCAATCTTTAAAATTGTTTATAGAAAAGAATTAGTAAAACATGCAATAGGTTCTTGGTTCTCTAAGCACAGTTCAGCTTCTGTAAAGTCTATACTTACATTAGAATTTTAAAAAATTATTCTTAATAATTTTTGGTTTTTTAGGTGATGAAGTATCTTTCCTCTGAGATTGATGATTAGGTTCAGGAAACTGAATTCACTAATAATTTTTCTGAGAGGTGACAGGGATTGAAGCCAAGGCCTTGAGCCATATCCTTTGCCCCTGACCTATTATATTCTGTCAAATTCCTTTATCTTTCATTAGTATTTATCATAACATGAACTAAATACCAGCCTTTCCACCACTCCTTGATCCTGGCACAGTTTTCTACATACCACAAATACTACAATGCCTACGTTGCTCTTAAAATACATCTAAAATGTTAATACTCCTTTCCTCAAGAGATGGAGCTTTATTCCTTGCCTCTGGAGCACTTGGCAACTCACTTCTAATGAATAGAAAAACATGGGAGTGAAGGTATGTGACTTTAGAGACTGGGTCACAGAAAGCACCTTGCTCTCTTCTCTTGGATCCCTTACTTTGAGAAAAGTTAGCTGCCAGGTTTCAAATGCAGCCCATATGGCAAGGCCTTCTGCCAACAGACATGTGAGTGAGCCATCTTGGAAATGGATCCTCCAACCACAGTCAAGCCTTCAGATGCCTGTAGTCCTTGCCCACATTCTGACTTCAACAACATGAAAGATCGTGAGCCAAAACCATCCAGCTAAGTCACTCCTGGATTTCTGACCCATGGAAACTGAGAAAAATAAATACTTGTTGTTTTAAGCTGTCAACTTTTTAAAATAAGTTTGGAGTAACTTGGTATAGAATAGGAAATATAAAGGACATGTAACCTATTGTGGTGTACAAAAGGTGAAACTCAGGTAGTAATGTTAAACTGAGCAATTTTCTCTCATGTTTCTCAATTATAAATAGAGTACAAAGGGTCATCTAATGACAGAGGCTGTGTAACCCTGACCTCATTAAGTCCCTTTAGAAGAAAAATGGACTCATGTATGCTTTCTGTGTAGGAATAATACAAACAGAGGCTGAATTATAAATTTCAGAGTTTTTTGGGGGGAAGTGCTAGGGGATCAAACCCCAGGTCTCATGCATGCTAGGCAAGCTCTACCACTAAGCCACATCCCCAATTCAATTTCATGTTTCTTAGGTAAAATGTTCTAAAAGGGCCCTTTTCTGTTTCATGTACCTCTCTTTTCTCTACTGCTTCATTTCCCAATGCAGACATATAATTGCCATCTGCCAAAATGTACACAAGTCTTTCCCCTCTTGACTATCCCAACAACAAAAAAAGCCCTAAAGGAAACAGATAACCTAAACAAAACAAATCCTTAAAGCCTCCCACCAAACAAAAGGATAAAAGCATTGTGGGTTAGGTTAATAGTGGCTTCTTGGTTCAAGGCATTCCTATTAAAACTTACTAATTCATTACAGAAAGTTCAGTCAATGAGTAGGAATGTAATATTTAGAAACAGATTAGTTTTTCCTGAAGACTAATAACATTAAAATATATTGAAAACAGGAAAAAATACCACAATCGTAACCATTTCTCTATAATGTTTTCTGGGTCTCACTGAATGTCTATGAATGCATACTTCTATAGAGTTGCAACCAACCAATATGGATTTTTTTCATTTTGGGGAAAAACATAATATAATCAAATATTTCAAAGTTCTATAGGAAAGGACTTCTCATATGTATTGGCTAAAAGTGAATTTACTTATAACTCACTAAGTACACATCAATATATATGCCAATGGAAAAGATTTTAATGTCTTTTAAAAATTTTTATTGCATAAATTAATCATATAAAAGGGTTTTACTGTGATATTTATAACATGCATATAATGTACTTTGATCAAATCCATCCCATTTACGTCGCTTTCTTAACCACTCTCCCAGCTCCCCCTCCTTTTTAACAGTTATAAAGATTTCAATTTCAATTTAAATTGCTTGATTAGCCAATTTTTTTTCTAAATGAGGCCTAATTTTTTACATTGAATATGTAGCCACCTCTCAACTATTCAATAAATTAACTTATCCTTTCTTCTAGAACATGTGTCTTTCTCTTTATATATTCAGTGCTCATTGGCACTTTTGCCTAGAGATACATAAAAGAGGAAAAAGATGAAATACAAGACAGTTTAATTTTAATTTTTATTAAATGGTTGTATCACAAGAAGACTGAAAATTAAAATATGGCTATTACATAAGCCTTTCCTATGTTAGTTAAGATAACTCACTGAATTTAGATTTAGTCCTTATAGTCCTTTTAGTTCTTATTTGGGGCTTGTCCTCTACTTACAAATATAGTCACAATTGATGCAACATTATTAATTCTTTGCAAATAAGCTATCTTGGACATGATTTCTGCTACCTAAACAATTTCACATAGTTTATATATGAATATCTATGAACATCTGTAATATATACAGATATATATTTTACAGATAAAGTACTTATCTTACAAAATTAAAACAAATACAACTTAAAAGGATTTCTGTTGAATGTTTTCCTTGAATAGTTATTGACTGGAAAAAAACTAAAAATCTTTAACAGAAAAGAAAAAATTACCCAAATTTAATGTATCTTATACCTTACAATATCCCCTCTGTTCGAAGTTATCCTATTTAAAAGTACCTTGTATATATTCTGAACTGGAGATATTTTATTACCTTTAAAGATATGCTATACATGGAATGACTCTAAGAATTCTGATTATTAAAAATTAATTGTAAATAGTGGCGTTTAGAAGTCTTTGAAATAGGAAATGACCATAAATATTGTTTACTTAAGCATTAAATTTATAAGTCAGTATTTGTAGTAGTTTGATGATTTTATAGTATTCTATATCAGGCTTAATAAAATTTTATTCCAAAAGTCAGAATCATCGCTTCTTAATCTCCTCTTTTGCAAAATAAACCTAAATACTCCAATGCCATGTTTTTTTGTGCTTGCTTATCAAGAAGTTTCAGATAAATAAAATAGAACAGGGTGAGGAAAACTGAATGATTCAAGCAAACATGGACTTAAATTAAAAATGAACTGAATGATAACACAGAGAATTTCTCATTCTAAAATTTTTATTTGTTGAAAAAGATCTGGAAATTAGATTTCTGAGATTATATGTTAAGTAATAATAAGTTAAGACAGTCTTAGTTGTGGGAGCTGTAAACTGAATAGCCATGACAAACAAAGCTAAACTCCCCTATTTTATTTAATAGGAAAGGTATAAATATAGCACTATTGACTAAATAGGTCTTGTTGACATTTTGAATCCTAAGTAGGAGTTATTTTATTCAAAGATGTACCATAAAACCCACTCATCTCATTTGAAAAATTCCTCTTGAAACTTACAAAATTTCAATGACTCAGGAAAACATGGATAATAATACACATTTATACCCACCACCCTGATTGACAAGTTAATATTTTGCCACATCTACTTCAGATACTTTTTATAAGAGACATTACAGATACAACTGAAGCATTCTTATTCCCTTACCAGATGTTACATAATTTCCTTTCTCTCTAATTCAAGACAGGAACATTTTTTTAAAGAAGATATGTAGTCTTCCTGTCTATAATTTATACTTTTAATATATATTTGTGTTTTCACATTGTCATTGTTTTGTGCTTTAAAATTATATGAATTATTCTCATTTTTTAATTAACATTGCTTCAAAATGCAGATATGCTGATACTGAAACAGTTTATTTTGGGATGGGTATGGTGACACAAGCCTATAAGCCAGTGATCAGGAGGCGGAGGTGGGAGGATCATGGTCCAGGTCAGCTCTAAGCAAAGAACCCTATGTGGGAAAAAAACAAAAAAACCTAAAGGAAAAAGGGCTGGGGGCGTGGCTCAAGTGACAGAGTGTCTGCCTAGCAAGTACAAGGCCCTAAGTTCAAAACCCAATACTACAAAAAAAAAGAAAAAATTAGTTGACTTAGTTATTCTCCTGATGGATGTTTAGGATGTAGCATGAACACCTTTGTACATGTTTCCTTGCAGATATAAGTATTTCTTTCCATATTGCTTCAATGAAGACTTTTACTTAAGCTAGTATGATAGATTTTTAAACACTACGTACAGGAAATTGGAGAAAAGAAGGAAGCTTTTTAAAAATCTAGGACATCTGTGTTTTACTATCTACCTTAGTTTAAACTTTTATTTCTTTGTTGAATCCTTCATTCTTTGTTAAATTCTTATGACATAAAAAAAAAGAATACTAAGAAATATGAAACCTAAGTTACATTTTACTTGGAAATAGTTCTTCTACTTAGGAACATTTATGTCATATGTATGTATATGGAAAACTACCATTTAGAATTCCACAAGTGGATCACCTCAGGAAAATAAACTGAGGAAGAAGTCATGTGTATCAGCACAAAAATGCTGTTTTTTGCAAAAACAATGTTAGGGTTGAAAAGAATCTTGTCTACCTTCCACCCATGTGCTACCCACTCAAATTGTGACAAAATACTAACTAAATAATTCACCAAGTATGTGAAACCTAATTTCTCATTTCTTGATTTTTTTTAGGGAATAAACCTGACGTATAGTCTACCTTTGACTGTTTGTCTCTTGGTATTCCTGGCTTCACTTTATCATGTGGCTGATCAATGGTCAAATTATTCTTCCTTGTTTCACTGTCTTCAAGCAGGGGAACATAACTGTAACTGTTATCTGCAAGACAAAAACCTCTTGGACATCAGCAGAAACACTTATTTTTGGTATCACCTTAAAAGTAAAAATGATCAAAACTATATTTTTAAAAGAATAGATTTTAAGCTATGACTTTTAAAAATTATTTCAATAACAGTTACCTTGACAAGTTGCTCATTTAGATATTTTTCCTTCTCACTAAATACATAAAACCCTTATTCTCCCAAAGTCAGTGGTGATTTTTTTCTGTATAAATGAAATAGCGTTATATGTATTTTTGCATCCTCCTTTGTTTACTTTACTGTATATTACGAACATATTTCTTGTTAGTAAGTTAACATCTATTATCATTATCTTTCTTGGCTACATGCCTAATTCATCTGAATCACTGTAACTTAACTTTTAGACATTTCTTTTCCTTTTTAAAAATTTTTTGGATTGTTTACAAGTTCATTGTAAAGGACATTTCAAAAGGAAAGCTGCATAGGGCAAGGAATGTGGGAAGGAGCACAGAGCTTCCATGCCCTCTTTGGGTGTATCACTCTCCAGGAGCTTTGAGCTCTGATATTTCTTTGTTTCTGACTGTTCATTATTAGAAATTATATGTGACACATATCCTGCATATACATCTTTGAGAACTTGCACAAATTTTCTTATGATAACTGCACTTATTGTATCAGAACTATTGAGAAACAATAGAAAAATGAAACAGAAAAACATAAAATTCCACCTTTCCTTTCTCTAAAAGGCTCAAGAAATACATAAAAAATTAGTATGAACATACCTCGACCAGAATTCACAAGAAGTAACTGTGATTTTAGCTTGTCAATAATAGTTTGTTGAAGTGACAGCTGTTCCTGTTGCTCACGGATTCTCTGCTCATAGTTCTCAGTCTGCTGGCAAGAAAACCAGTTAGCCTATTTACGGACAGACATGAACATATATTTACTGTCCATTAATAAATAGACAGGGATTGCCATTTCCCAGGTACTGGAAATTTTATTTATGAGTTACAAACTGGCTCTAGTAATACACTTGCAGATGTTATAGACATTAGTGATTTAAAGCACTTAAAAAAACATCTTATTTAAAGAAATTTCACCCACAAGTTTGACATTATGGTCTCTTGGTCTTTCAATTAGGGTAAAAATAAGAATTTAGAATTTAATCCTTAAAAAAAAAAGAAAAAGCATGAATGATAAGACAGATGTTACATTAAAGTTATCCTTTAAAAATATCAATTTAAAAATTAAAATGTCATGCTTTTCAAATAAATACACTTCTGAATTCATTCTTTAGAATACAAAAACAAAAGAAGTAACTATAAGGAACTATCAAAATAAGAGGGAAAAACACAAATTACAAAAGCATACTGGTCAAAAAGTTATTTTCTAAGTTTTAGTAAATCAACAGAACACCAGGAATAATCCTTAGGATGTATTTAAAATACCATAGTTTCTCTTATAGTATTATTCCATCCATTTTGCTATTTTATTGCAATGACTGTGAGAATTAAGCAATGAAAAAAGACATGACTTGTGGGGGTTAGGGAATACAGATGTTACAAACATTCAAATAAATTTGAAAATGTATCACAATTACCAAATTAACAAAGTTTTAAAAATGTATTAGCTAAAAGTAGTATAGAGTTCTTTACTAATTTCTGTCACTGGAGGAACAAAAAAATAAATGACTAAAATGCAAATTCCTTGACTATGAAGGGATCCTAACAATCTTGGCATGGACTTCAGTATATACTAGATAGTTCACTTTAACTTGACCCCTATAATTAGTGAATCTCTATTATTTTCAGACACCAATGAGCCTAAAGTTCTTTATAAGGTACACAGCTATTCCCAGATTTTCAAATGTAAATTAATTTTAGAAATTAAATCAAAATACTACATTTGCCCAAATAAAAGGTGATTTTTAAAATAAGACACTTCCAATGGGAATACAGTTATTCATGTTGTAAGTAACACAAGTGGTGCACTGTCTTTGTATGTTGCCTGAGGGCAGTCTTACATAATTTGGCACTTCCCACAGAAATCTGCAAAACATGTTAAATACATGCTATTGAAAATCTTATGGGTCTTCGGACTTCATGTTCAGTAACAATGAGTCTCAGAACAGTCCCAGATACTCTAGTTCAGAGCAAGTTTCTCAGGATAAGACATCTTATGTCTACATAAATTCACATCTAAGCTGAATAATGCAAACACCTACAGCAATTTTTTTGTTTGTTTGGTGGGAGTAGGGTTTGCACTCAGGGCTTCAAGCTTGCAAAGCAGACACTCTATTGCTTGAGCCACACCTCTAGTTCATTTTGCTCTGGTCATTTTGGTGATGGGGGTCTTGGGCACTATTTGCCCAACTGACCTTGAATCTTGATCCTCCTGATCTCAGCCTCCCAAGTAGCTAGAATTATAGGTATAAGCCACTGGTGCTTGGCTACAGCAAATTCTTAACCTTACAATTACCTCAGTAAACATGCTCTGGTCTTCTCTATCTACTTCTTACGTATTTAGGACTTTCTTCAAAGTACTCAAAGTTCTTTACGACCATCAGTCAGTAATTTTTTATCTTTTCACTATACTTTGGTAGACATAAACATTCTACTGTCCAAAGATTAAGTAACTAGTCCAATAAATTTGGCAATCTAGAGATAGGCCCATAATAAATATCTAAATTATTCAAATCTCAGTCCTTCCTTTACCATAGGTTTTTTTTTTTTTTTTTTTTGGAACCAACTCAGAAAGCTTCTGTCAGTAAATTTTCACCTTTTACTCTCTGGCTTAAAAACATATTTCAGCACATCTGCATACAACATATTATAACAAATGAATAATGCTGAAATGTGTCCAATAGCTGGGAAAAATTAATAGACCAATGGCCACTTCATGTGGAAGTCTTAAACTATTGCTTAAACTACTTGGTAATGTACTATGAAGCTCAAGTAAATTCTGCAATAGTTTTTAAAACTCAGTACTTTTAAAGTATAGCAGAAGAAATAGAATAGCAATGATTCATGTTCTCCAATTCTGGTCTTCCCCATGTACAACTTCCCTGTAGACGATCAGCATCTCATGGGCAGAGACAATTTCTTTCTGCATTTGTAGAGTATTACCTATATTAAGACCCTCAATAAATATTAGTTGAATAGATAAGCTAATTAAATTGTTAATGAAGTATCAAGAGAAACAGATATGCCTTCAGAAGTGACCTGAAGGAATGAATGGAGGGAGAAATGGCTCTGCTTATATTTTTCTGTAAGGAAAACTAAAAAAAAATTCAAACAAGGTTAGTAGGTAAATAAGATAAAAAATTAAGTTTAAGAAAAATAAATGCAAAAGTTGGATTTTTGGGGGGCAAAAAGAAAACTTATGCTGTTAGAGAAAAAGACAGTAATTTAAAAAGACAAAAATACATATTTTGAAAAGTATACAAAGATTATAAATTCAGAAGATATTATATCAAATTGGGAAATAACCAGTAAAATTCAGTTTATTTGCTCTGCTTGAAAACTCAAGTGAAACAGGGTTTTTTTCTTTTTATGAAATTTTATTTACTGAACAAATATGAATAAACATGTATCTTGAAAATCCTTTTAAAAGGTCAGGTAACTGTTGCACAGTCATAGTGTTTTCAAAAAACAATACAGTTACAAAGCAGTTGCATTCCAGTACTATCAAAGACGCCACAAAACAGAAAAATCACTAACAACTACATTGAAAATGTACAACAGCAATGTCTTGTCAACACTTCTGTACAGAGCACAGACATGACAGCTAAAACAGACAGAAGAGAAGATGCTTTTGACAGCCAGTGTGTGTGAATGATTCTTTGAGTCAGATGGCAGCAACAAGTTACCAACTAGGAGATCTGCATGACAACTAACCATCCATCTGTATCAAACACCATCTGGCCAAGATGACTCTGGCTTCTGTGTATTTGACACTCCTTATAATTCCAAAGACTAGCAAAACAAGTGGTCTACCAGTATCTAAAAAGGTAATCAGGTACTTAGGTACTTGTGCCATAAGGTGCTTTGTGTTCTATCTTAGTGTTCAAAGCAAAACTTAAAACAATGGTGATCAGATGTGGTATACATCTTAAATTTATTTAAAATAATGGCTGACCATACAACTCTACTCTATCATAAATAAAACAAAGACATTGTCTTAAGAATTGTCCTTTTATGAAGGTAAAATTCTAATGTTTTCAAAACTAAGATACCATATTTTCAATAATTTTGGACATAGAATTGTTCGAGCTTTCATGAGTTTTATAAATATGAGGATAGAGTTTTGTAAATTGATTTTTTCCTATTGCTAATATTGAACATTTTCATGTTTAATATTTCCAAGGTTTTATTTCCTATATAGGGGAAGAATTCAAATGGCCTTATGTCATCAATAATACTCCAAATAGGTCAAGCATCATTTCTTTTCTTCTTCTTTCTCAATATTCTGAGAAATACTGTGGCTTCCTTCTAATGACTTACTAAGGAATAGAAAAAACTATTAATTTAGACACAAATTTATTAAAATCCATCTTGAAACTTTGGTAAACTAAGCTTTAACTTCAATTTTAGGGTTTCTTTCAAAAGTATGAGATCATATACTCTGGCATATACCTAACTCTCTCCTCAACCATTCTCTGCCTACTACATTGTAAGGCCCACAAAACCCTGCCCTCCAAATACTAATATTTATCTAAGAAATATGCAATCTGACAGATATCAAATTACCAATTAGATTACTATCAGGTGACAATACTGTCACCAATTTCTCAGTATGCCAAGTAGTAAGCTATGACAAACTATTTTTACTTTACAATCCTGTTTTGGTCCTGATTTATTTATCTGCTTCTTTCTCTATGAAATGAAAATAACATTTACCTAAAGATTGAAGAGCTGGTATATATAAATTATCTGTTACACATTAAGCTCTTTGTGAATACTAGCCCCTTTCCTTTAATGCCGAACATTGCATCCACATAATATCTAGAACTATGGGAGTGGAACCACTGCAGAGTACCCACCAGGGAAATGCTCAGCAAAGCCATGGGGTTTGGGTCATTGCAGAGTTCCTGAAAAGGCAAAGTTTAGTGGAGTTGTTGGGGCAGACCCCAGACTGGTAAAGCGACCAGCGTGCAACTTCAGTCTGGGAGAGCCAAAGGCATGTGACTCCAAATCAGGAGAGTTGCAGCCAGCAAAGTTGTGGGTGCAAGATCACCCAGAGCTTTGGAGCTCAATCTCCACCTCAGTGTGTATAGGAGATGGGATATGATGGACTTAAAGAAGATCCTCAGGACTCAAGACAACATTTTCTCTGTTGAGTTTTGAATTTAGTTATCCCTTTCTTCTTTCCCGTGGTTCCCTTTTGGAATTTGGAATGCCTATTCTATACCTGTCATACTATAGTATTTTAGAAGCACAGAACTTTTTTAATCTCCTAGGCTCACAGCTAGAAAAGAAAAGAACTTGCTCCAAGACGAATTATACCTTGAATCTCACCTATCTCTGATTTAGATGACATTTAGATGAGGCTTTGGATGCAGATTTTAAAGTTGATGCTAGAATGAGTTTAAAGTTGGTGCTTAACTCATTCTAGGGGGAATGGAATGAATGCAAGTCACATAAATGATTTTTGGGGGACAGGGGCAGAATGCTATGGTTTGAGTGTATACCCTCCAAAATTTTTGTTGAAACTTAATCCTTATTGTGGTAGCACTAAGAGGTAGGGCCTTTGAGGAGGAGATTAGGTAATTAGGAGTGATCCTCCCTCATGATTGTGATTAAGGCATTATAAAAGAGCCTTCACACAGTTCAAACCTTTCTGTCACTTCTGCAGGTGAGGACATAGTATTCACCCACAGGTCCCCCTTCCAG